CTTCGAAAGCGGCACAGGGCGGCTGTTTGGTTACCAGGACCTCCGGTGCTTGCGGTGGCTGTCCTGGAGCTGCTGGAGAGGCAGAATCCGAGCTTTGCCGTCGCAAGCTGGTAGGTCTTTGCTGAAAATGTAGGGAACTTTTTCGGACGGAAGGATTCTTATTCTCGACATCGCGGAGTTTAGTGTCCTCAAGCTGAGGACACGGGACTTTAGAATGAGTTATGGGCTCGAACAAGCCCATAGGACTATTAGCTTGCTTGGTGCCCATAGTGGGAGGGCTAGGCAGGATGGGTCTCAGTCTGGGCCGTGCTCTTAATAAAATGAGTTCGGCGAAGATGGGACCTATCTAAATTAACTTGCATCACAGCAAGGGTGCCTCGGCTGTCCTGGTTAAACGCATAACTGTGGCGCACACACTTATCTCTTTAATGTAAGAACCTTGGATTTTCAGAGACTGCGTCAAAAGTATTGCGGTCTGCGAGAGGCTTTTCAAATCTTCAGCGGAAACCAAACCCAGAGCTACAATTGCGGTCAAGGGTATGACTGCCCAATTCATGCCTGAATTTTGTTCTAGGGATGTTATTGCGGTAATGGTGGATCTCATCAGGGAAAACACCGAAAAGCTAAAAAAAAGTGGTTGTATGCTCGACATACTTCTTTAACAAAGTAGGGAGTTCACTTCCTCCAAAACTACTCGACAATCATAAAACACTACCAGAAGAACGGGCTTTCGCTGATCATATAGTGTAATTCCAACGCGTATCACGTGGTCTGGAGAAGTACGAACATTAACAACAGAAGCAGAGGGCTCCTGGAGTACCTAGTGACCACTGACTTCGAGATCCTGCACAGAAGTTGCGAATCTACGTTTCAAACCGCGGTGAGATGCTCGATATTATTCTGTGTAGAAGTTTGGTGGGCAGCGTGGTGGATTGGAGGGTTTCTCAGGAACACTCTCTACTGACCATAAGTAGATCGTTTTTAGGCTTGCTAATGTGAGGCCCAAAGTCACTCGGCAAAGAAATCCCAGGAGGACTGACTGGGCCTCCTTTGGTAGACATTTAGCCACTAATTTTGAGGGCTTTTCTAAGAGTCACGGGACCAGTAAGGAGATAGAGCTTTATGCAGAACATCTACAGAAGGCTCTTATCAACAGTTTTGAGACCAGTTGCCTAGAGAGGACGGTTGGCTCGAACAGGAAAATTTCTTGGTAGGAACTAGACTTGCAAAGGTTTAGGATGCAGGATCTCTATAAGAAGTCTCAGAAGACCTATAGGGATGGCATCCTGGTTGCCAGGAGAAGGAGCTAGAAAGAGTTCTGCAAGTCTATGGAGAGCTTTCCTGAAGCCTCAAAGCTATGTAGAATTTTAGCCAGAAATCCGGACTCAACCTTAGAGGCAGTGCCTCCCGAAAGGAGAGGTGGTTTCAAGAAAACGTTGCTTGGTAAATTTGGTGGAGACCAGTTTTCCTGGTTTTGGTAGATACTGAAGATGAGATACAAAAATGGCCCTCGGAGTCCAAGATAAAAACACGAGGAGAAGACTGGAACTTAGCAGCTAACATCGTTAAGCCTGAAAGAGTTAAATGGGCGATTGGTACCTAAAAACCTTTCAAGTCTGCGGGCCCTGATAAGATCTTTCCGGCGCTTCTTAAAAAGAGACTCGAGCTGATCATCCGACCATTAACACAGACGTTAAGAGCTTGTCCTTTATATTATATCCCCAAAGCTTGGAGACTGGCAAAAGTAGTACTTATTTCTAAAATGGGAAGAACATGCTGCTCCTCGGCCAATGATTTTAGACCAATCAGCCTAACGTCTTTTCTTCTGAAAATGCTGGAAAAGCTGATCGATGTCTACTTAAGAAATGTGGTTCTCGGGCATCCGCTGCACGTCAACCAACATGCGTATCAAGCGGGCTACAGCGCTTCATGCGCTGGTATCTCAAATTAAAAATCAGCTAGAGACAGGAGGCTCTGCTTTGGGGACCTTTCTAGACATCAAAGGAGCCTTCCACAACACACCGCATGAAGTAATCTGTAGAGAAGCGTCGCGGCGGGGTGTCCCAGATAGGCTGGTTTGTTGGATCTGGTGTATGCTCAGGCGACATATTATAATATCACTCGGCTCTGCTAGGGTCGGCGGTTGGAACGAGGATGCCCGCAAGGCGGAATGCTCTTACCACTGCTGTGGTGCCTAGTGGTTGATGGACTACTCAGGAAACAAAATGATAGCAGTATCTACGCGCAAGGATATACTAATAACCTGGCTATACTTGTGCGAGAACCCTTTCTAGATATGCTTATAGAGGTTATGCAAAGCGCTCTAAAGACGGTGAAGGGTTGGTGCAAAGACTCCGGTCTCTCGATTAATCTTTCGATTAATCGTCGGAAGACCGAGCTCGAAGATACTCGAGTTAGACATCGTTGAGGGACTCATCTTAGGAGACATCAGACTAACTTCGGCCGAATTAGGGAAATATCTAGGAGTCATCCTAGATACGAGACTATTATGGAAGGATTACCTAGAAAATCAATGTAAGAGAGTCACTTTGTACTTCTGGATAAGCAGAAGAGCCTTTGGCCAGACCTGGGGGCCTTAGGCCGACGATGGTCTACTGATTCTATTCTGTAAATTTAGGTCTCGGCTGTTATTCGTTGCGGCAGTGGTGGCCTAGGGCCTTGAGCTCAAAAGGTAGCGGCCAGAGTGGCATTAGAGCAGGCTAGGGCTTTCATTCTCAGAGGGACCCTTGGTGCAGTCAGGACCACTCCTGTTGCGGCGATGGGAGTTTTATTTGACGTCGAACCTTTTTATCTTACGCTTGTAACCGCTGCTGCGTTAACGGCATATCGACTTTGGTGCAAAGGGAAATGGAACGCGGCTATCATACCAAACTCCTCAACAACATTTGCTCCGATCCTGTCTTTCAAATTCCGCAAGATAGGATGTCAATTAAACGCGCATCGAAGACTATACCTACACGCTCTGTTTTCTGCAGCGTGAAGGTATGAAGACTGGTTCAGAATGCAGGGCCCAAAACTAAATAATAGGATCATCCTTTTTACGGATGGCTCCCAGAACGGCTCGGGCTCAAAGGCGTGCATTTATTGTCGAGAAAAAGGGATCAATAAATCGACCTCACTCGGAAAATTTGCCACTGTCTTCCAATTGGAAATGATGGCAATTTTGTGCGGCGCTCAGGATCTTCTAGTCGCCGAGGTCAGAGGAGAGCGCATTAGTATTTGTTTGGATAGTCAGGCGGGTCTTAGAATTCTAAACTCTTCAATCTTCATCTCTAGACTGGTCTGGTATTGCAGAGCATTCCTCCTCGAGAAATTAACGAAAAATAACAAGATTGCCTTGGCCTAGGTGCATTCTGGCATTAGAGGCAATAAGGCAACTGATTAGCTGGCAAAGGCTGGTTCAGAAGCCGGGCTGGTGGATCCGCAGCCGGCGACCGACGTTCCTTACTGCTTAGGCAGAGGAGAGATTGGTTGCTGGCAGCGGACCCAGCATTTGCTCTGCTGGAGAACTACAGCCGAGTACATACAGTTGAAAACGCTGCTCGGGTAATCACCGAGCGGATATCAAAAGATTGAGCAGAAGGGAGACCGGGCTACTGACACGCATACTAACTGGGCACGGCACTCTCAATTATCATCTGCATAAGATGGGAGTCAGCAATAAACCCAATTGTAGATGATGTAGTGCACCGGAGGAAACTAGCCTTCATGTGCTGTGTGACTGCCCAGTGTACGCACGGGCAAGATTTGATTTGCTGGGATCAGCATTCTTAAGGCCGCAGCAGATAAGTACCTCTTAGTTGAGGCTCTCCTTTGCCTTTAGAGGAGGGTAGGCCTCGGCTCGAGCTTGTCTGTCGAGGCGGACTTTGTCTGTGTGCCTTAGGCGGGATCAATGGGAGACTTTGATTAAGAGACTTTTTCTACCGTCTCACTATTATTATTATTATTTTTTTTTGTTAATTCATCTTTTCGTCATTACTCCGATACCGAATTTACCGATAACTCGCTTCGCGCGTAAATCTAGTGCGGTGATCACGCTTCTTAAGAGTTTTCTTGAGCGATTCCGCAGTTAGTACATAGTTATTTACAGTAACAATATTTTTGTTTGTAATTTAAATAAAAAATAGAAAATTAAAAAAAAAGATATTTGTCATCCGAATTTAAAATAAAGAAAAAAATGGTAGTAATTTAATCAACCAACTCTGGCAAATTAAGTGATCTTTATTCAATATTCACGATGTTTCGGCCATGAGTTTCGGCCCTTATCAAGTGCTAAAACACAACTTTTTTTAAAAAACCTTAATTTTTGATCTTAGAATGTGACAAGATATAATAAAACGATAATGTGAAACAATTAACTATGATTAAATTACTACCATTTTTTAATTATCATCTGGTGACTTCACAGTTTTTTACATCTTTTAAAATAAAGAAAATTATTAATGATTTAAAATTATTTGGAATAATTTTTTTTTATTTATAATTGAATAGTTTAGGAATTACAACGTACATACAATAAATAATGTTATTTTATCAGATTTAAAAATATCTTCCACTTGCGCCATGTGCTTTAGAATTGTTTGTCAATGTAGTAATTTTTTTATTTGTAGTTGAATAGTGTAATGCATTGTTGTAAAAAAGTATATTGTCTACAAATATTGTAAATACATTGTAACTCTTAAACTACAAAAAAATTTTGCATTAATTCTAAGAATAAAAATAAATTAAAAATAAATTTAGAACAAACATTTTTCAAACACTGTTTCATCAAATTATTTTAAAATATAAAAAAAAGTTATCTTCAAAATATTTTGATATTTTTGTGATATGAACATTGTGTTTATAAATAAATATGTTTCTAATGCATTTTATTCATTTTTACTTTTATTAACATTTTTTAATGATGATAAAATTTTTGCATATCTGTGCATGAATATTATAGATATTATTTAAATGTAGAATTAAAAAGAAATGTAGGACTACATACCAATAATAGTTTTGAAAATCGTCCCTGGTTTAAAATCTGAGAAGGAAGATACCGCTGCTGGATGACGCAACAAAATTTTTGGTGCTACTAAGATCAAAGGCTTTCGGTAATTTCTTATCATCTATAAAATTTATTAACTCATTACATTTAATTTTTATAATTTATCATAACAAATATTTAGAAATTGTTTGTATAATTTACAGTGAATTTTATTCTCTTACCTGCCTTCTCAATAAATGAAAATATTGTGCTGGTTTAGTGGGATTTGCAATTTGTATGTTAATATCATCACTGTCGATTTCATTGTCTTTACTATCGGTTAATTGTAAGAATCTTTCGAGTCTACAGGAACTATGTTCTGGACCAGCACCATCATATCCATGTGGTAAGAGCATCGTTAGACCACTGCTTAACATCCATTTTGCTTCTCCGCTTGTTATATACGTATCAATAATAATTTGGGCTCCATTAAAGAAATCTCCAAATTGAGCTTCCCAAATAGGCAATATAAACGGTGATGCTATACTTATACCATACTCAAAACCTAGTACAGCTTCCTCAGACAATATGCTATTAGCTATTTCTAATTTGCCAGTTTGATCACTAACCATAGAATTTAACGGGATAAAAATAGCTAGAAAATTATAATATTAATCTAAAATGCTATAGATATCTATTAGATTATAGAAAGTTTGATGATATACCTTCGGTAGTTTGATCAACAAGCATTGCGTGTCTTTGTGAGAAAGTTCCACGACCCACATCTTGTCCACTTATTCTAACATTATATCCTTGATATAACAGAGAACCGATGGCTAATGCCTCAGCGGTTGACCAATCCAAAGCTTTACCGTTTTCAATCTTTTTTAGACGATTTGGAACATGATTTTTTAGTAATTGTGGGTGAATGTTCTTTAATGTTATAGAATAAATATATTTTTATTAATTAAAAATCTATATATTTTACATATGTATATATTATTACATACAAATATCTTGGACTTCCGTTTCCCATGCGTTGGTGTTAGACACGTGGGGAGTAAGTGTGTGTGCTTGGAGGCTTTTTCAAAAGGTTATTGAAAGAAGAAAGATGTGAGAATGGTGTGAGGTAAAAGCGGAGGTAAAAGAGAAAGAGAATGTGAGAATAGAAGACGCGCGACCGGCCAGAGAGGAGGAGGCAAAGCAGTAAAAATAGAGAAAAAATAGTGACAGTTGAGCAAAGAGTAAGAAGTATATAGAGAGAGGCAACGCAGTAACGAGAGCGGCGAAGAAAGCGCGTTAAGCAAGAAGTACAGAGGATATAGAGAGGAATATGTACGAGAGAAAGAGGTAGGCATAAAAAATAGGAAGTACAGTCAGTCAAGTAAGAGCGTGGTCGGGTAAATTTATGGAAAAACTTATTAAATGGTATTTTTATATTTATATATATATTGTACTGAATATAAACAATGATGCAATTATATTAATAATGTGTCCAGTCACCATCGGCGTCGATAATTGCCTGGCATCTCCGAGGCATGCTTTCGACTAATTTAATTGCATATTCTAGTGGCAACGATCTCCAGATACGACGAATTTCGCTGGAAGTGTATGTACGTTTACTACAAAGCTTATGCTTAATATATGCCCACACATTTTTGATGGGGTTTGCATCGGGCGACTGTGACGGCCAATCCATTGATATTCTCATGCGCCCAAGCGAGTCGATTCGTAACATGTTTTTCAGTCAACAAAGGCTTCTTCATTGTGGGGCGAAATTTCAGGTTATGAGCACGGAGATGAGTTCGGATAGTTTCGTGCGATATATCTAAACCTTTCGACTTTAATTTTGCCTGTCCTTGTCGCAGTGTTAAAGAAGGATTTCGCAAAAACTTCACTATTTTTTTTCGTCTTTTTTGTCCACTTTGCCTATTCAGCCACGTTCTGGTAAATCATCGACATTTTTTGCCACTTTATATCGCTGTATCCACTTCTGTACAAATGTTTTCGACTTTCTCATGTATTTAGCAGCCGCTGATTGTGACATTTTTGGACCTTTCGGATGGGTACACAGGAACACAGCCTCGTAGCGCGACGCGTACTTAGCACTCATGACGCTTATCGTGTTTTTCTTTCAAAGAATCAAAGACAACTGAATATTTTTTGACAATGCATCAAGGGCAAAACTTCCCTTTATAGTCTCACGAAGGATTTAGAGCGAAATCTTTTATTACCTGTCAATAAAATCGACCACGCTCTTACTTGACTGACTGTATATAGATAGAGATAGACAGAAATAGGAATCATGAGTAGCGGAAGGAAAGAAGAAAATATAAGAGGTGAGAGTAGAGGAATAAGAGAGAAAAAGGAAAAGCAAAGGAGTAGAGTTTAAGCGTAAGCTCTCTCGGGTTAGATTCCCGATTCAGTCGACTTCTTCGGACCAATATATTTTTTTCGTCTACATCAATTTAGGAGGGTAAAAGGAAGAGGAATTCAAATCTCAATTTAAAGATTGTTCTTTATCTTAGTGAATTGCTAAATATTAGGCTCTTCACATCAATATATTCTTTCTATCTTTGTTATTACGATAAGAGCGTTTTATTAATATCATTTGGTTTAGGAAATTTAACAATAATAACTAAAAAGGGGTCGACCAAACTGGTAATTATTTCAATGTTTAATAAAAATACGACGTTTTGACCGTTATTGCGGTCCTTCTCAAGTACATCTACAAAAATTAATACAAACAATTTTTTTTTAAATAAATGTTAATAATAATTACAAACAATTGCACAAATTAATTATTGAAAAATAAGAACAAAAAAAAGTAAAATAAAATAAGTAATTACAAGGATAGAGAATCTATTGCTGTGAGAGCCAATATATAATACTTAGCAATTCGCTAAAATAAAGAACAATCTCAAATCGAGATTTATAAGTTCCTCTTCCCTTTTAACAATCCCCCTAAAATTAATGTAGACGAGAAAAATATATCGGTCCGAAAAAGTCGGCTGAATCGGGAATCGAACCCGAGACCTTCCGCTTGCCGGGCGACTGCTCTTCCAACTGAGCTATTCAGACACCTTAAGGTGTCTTAAGGTGACTTTGCTACTGCTATTTTTAACTACTTGATCTTTGTAATTGTATTTGGTATGTTAGTGACTTGGTTGCTTTTGCGCTGTTAACATTGTTATATACATTCTGTCTGTAGTATGGCACTTTTTGCATTGTTCTTTAAAATAATTGCTAAAGTGATGCCAGTCTGCAATTAAATTATATTGTTCACTATCACCCTATGAATGCAATTTATATTTCTGATTTTTTGGTAACGTAATTACTTATATTATTTTACTTTCTTTTGTTCTTATTTTTCAATGATTAATTTGTGCAATTGCTTGTAATTATTATTAATATTTATTTTTTAAAAAAATTGTTTGTATTAATTTTTGTAGATGTACTTGAGGAGGACCGCAATGACGGTCGAAACGTTGTATTTTTATTAAACATTGAAATATATTATTGCCAGTTTGGTCGACCCCTTTTTTAGTTATTGTTTTATTTTTACTAACGACTTTTTATATTTTATTATTTATTTATTAGGAAAAGATGAGCTGTGGAAAAGAAGAGGGAGATATTGGAGAAAAGTGGGAGGAGGAGAGAGAAGCTTTTAAAAAGAAGCAATAAGATAGCCAGATCGCCAGAAAAAAGAGGGAGAGAAGAAAAGGAGGAAGGGGAATTGATACAAGAAATGAGAAGGGAAGTGATGGAAGGGATATGATGGGAAGGATAAGTGGTGAGATAAAAGTACAGGGAAATAAAATAAAGACAGAGATGAAGAAATGAAGGAAAGACTACAGCGAGTAGATGGAAGCATAAAAAGAAGAAAAGAAGGAATTGAGGAAAGATATGGAAGATATGAAAAAGAGGATGGAGGGACTGGAGAAGACGGTGGGAAAGTGGAAAGTAGGAAGAAGAGAGGGAAAAGAGAGGGCTTAGGGAAAAGGATGGAAAAGAGAGTAGGGAAAATAGAGAAGAAGGGGAAGCAATGGAAAAGGAGGAAAAGAAAGGAGGAAGAGAGATGAATATTGTGATAAGAGGACAGGAGGTAAAAAAAAGGAAGAAGAGAGAGGGAGCAAAGAAGTTGTTGGAGGAGAAAGATAGAGGCAAAGGCAAAAAAATAATAAAGATTAAGAAGATAGGAGAGAATAAGGAGAAAGGAAGAGAGATGGTGCTGATTGAGCTAAAGGAGGATTCAACGTGGGAGGGAGGTAATGGAAAAAAAAGAGATTAAGAGGCAGGGAAAAAAAGAAAAAAAAATCGGAGAAGATTTAACATGGAAAAAAAGAAAGATGAGATGGAAGTTGGGAGAAATAGCAAGATGGAAGGGGAGAGGGAGAAGGACGTGGATAGAAAATCAGAGGATGAGAATAGGAGATAAGCGGTGGATGGGATGGGACGAAGAAAAGAAGGTACTCTTCTTTTTTTCTAAGGATGAGAGAGGGAATATAAAAAACGGAAACGGGGGAAGAGGAGGGACAGATAGAAAAAAGTAGTGAAATAAAGAGAAGTAAGAAGAGGAGAAGAAGAGAGAGAGAGAGAGATAGAGAGAGAGAGAGAGAGAATGGAAGGCGGCGTTTTGGAATATAGCGGTTTAGGAAACAAGGATACAAAGCTTAGAAGGGTCTAAAAGAATGAGAAGTGATAAGTTATCAGAAACATGTTAGAAGAAAAGGAATGGAAAAAAGTTAAAAGAAACTTGCTGAAAGGATATATATGAAGAGCACAACAGACAAGAAGAAAAAAGAGGCAAGAAAGGAAAAGTGATAGGAGGCATGGTAATGGGAATTAGGAAGAAGAAGGCAGAGAAAAGGGACAAAGATGGGAACGGACAAGGAAGGATTTATGGTAGGAGAGTAAAAATGGAGGGGGAGAGATTGAAGATAGTGGGGGTATACTAAAAGAGAGAAAATGGAAAAGGCATTAAAGGAAATGGAGCAGTGGACGGAGGACAATGAGGAAGGAGGAAGGAGTACACACAATAATTGGGAGAATTTTAACGCAAGAACAGAAAAGAGAAGAAGAAAGAATGAGAGGGAAAAAGAGGATAGAAGAGGAGGAGAAGAAAGAGATCGAGGATAGAAGAGGAGGAGAAGGAAGGCAAAAGAAGATCGAAGGATAAGTTGATCAATGCAGAAGAAAGCTGTTAGAATTTTTGGGAGAAAAAGAAACATATTAAATAAAAATACAAGAAGAGACGAAGAAGGAGAATGGACGTTTACGGGTAGAAAAGAGAATACAGAGACAAATTATGTATTAGGAAATGAAGACAGCAAGGAAAGAGTGAGAAGACTAAGGTATAAGGAACAGGTGGATTCGGATTATCACCCAGTAGAGGTGGAAGTTGAAGGGAAGCAGGGAGGAGAGAGGAGAAAGTAACAAGGAGGAGTGAGGAAAAGGATATGGAATAAAGAGGGTTGCAGGATATTTGAAGGGAAAGTTGGCGAAATGGGAAGAGGAAAGAGGAAATAGAAAAAGAATGGGGGAGAGTGGAGGAGAAAACTGAAGGAGGCGTGATAGAAACGGAGAGGGGAGATGAGAAAAGAAAATATAGAAAAGAGAAGATGGTAGATGAGGAATGTGGAGAAGAGAAAAAGAAGATAAAAATGGAGCTGAGGAAGTGGAGGAAGGAAGGTGGAGAAGGAGGAATACAGGAGGAAGAGAATGGAGTACAAGAAATTGTGATAAGAAGAAGGAAAACAAGAGATGGGAAAAAAGAGCAGCGGAAGTGAGAAGTATAAGTACGATGGTGTTAGCGGAAAAGTTAAGGAAGGAGGTAGATCAAAAAGGAATAGTTCCGGAAAACCAAACGAGATTTATAAGAAGAATGGGGACGATAGATAACATTTATGTTTTGAATTATGTGATAAATAGACAGTTAGATAGAAAGGGGGGAG